ATAATATAGAAAATGTATTCACGGCAAGAGCAGCTCGTAATGAAATATACGAACATCGACTACACTAACACCGAATATCTCTCTTGCTCTCTGCTCTGCCTCGTGTATGTTGCTGCAGCTCCTATCCAGTGTGCCAGCACTGTGAGTTTTCGCCTCGGTCTCTCTCGTCAATGTGTATATATATATATATAATATAGCAGAGGTTTCTCGAGCCGAGTATAAAAATTATATATGAAATGAAAAGACACCGAGAGCCAAGTAGAATGTCGAGCCAAGCGACGAGATATACGAAAGCGTACGTAAGTAAAAATGTATAAAAATAAAAATGAAATAACGAAATGCTAAGGCGAATAAGAAAAAGTCGACAGCGACGACGATGAAACAAATGATAGAAAAATATTTAACAGGGTGTCGAACGGTGAACCATTTGAAAGATTGTCACATCTGAAAGATTGTCAATGATATTTGCGAGACCTATTAAATGAAGAAATTGTCTAATTGGAATGATTTCCATGTGGACATCCGAATTGTGCATTACAATGTGACATTGATGAAGTGTGGTTTATGCCGTTGGCACACACCCTGTGCCAAACATAACATTTAATATTTAAGTTTATGACTCTTTCCCATTCACACATCGCCGAGCTGAGCGATCGCATACACTCGATGTGAATGTGCGCACTGTACTGAACGAACATGCAGCAGCTATATGCCGTCATTGTCGTATAATGAAAACTGAAACGACGAATGGAATAAAAAAAAATTACCCAACACAACCGAGAGAGGCGAGAGCACACAGAAAATGTGTGGCAACAACAACAACAACAACAACAGCAACAATGACGACAGCGACAACAGCAGCAGCAGAAGCAGCAGCGTCAGGGTTTTGAATGCTACACTGAAGTACACACGGAGCATTGAGTCGGACCGACAGTCGACACACCGAAAGAGAGAGGGAGAGAGAAGTGTGTGTGTGTACACGAACGAACAGCACAAAAGCAACGCAAAGGCAGCAAAAAATAAAGTTCAAAATAAAACGAAACACACAAAAATTCCAAAGGAAAAAGATGGAAAAAAAGACAGCTACGACGCAAGGAGACGGCTACAGCAGCGGAAAGGCGAATGAAACAAAGAGAATGAAGCGAGAGAACGAAGCGATGGAATACAACAACATCAGGCAAACAAACAAACACGAAACGATCCAACTAACGACCTTTTACGAAAATAAACGAGAGAAAAAAAAAGTTTTATGAAGGCAAAAAAGCAGCGCGCTCACACACAAAAAAAAACTCCAAATGATAAAGCGAAACAAAGAGAACAGTAACACTACCTTCGTCGACGGCAGTCAATTCGCTTGGATGGAAATCGTGCATTTTCGTTGGTTATTATCCTTCGATAGACTAATTTTTGCGAGTTTAAGTAAAAACTGTTGATGATGAAAAATATGAACGATGGCAAAATATGGCTCTAAACTGGGAAATGTGCAGACATTTTCCAAAGAGCCTCGGTAACATTTTCTGATTGGTTTCGACATGGGTTTGGTCGTTTTACTGGCAATGTCTGAGAGAGAGACAAGCGTTTTGTGTCGCTGTTGCTGTCGCCGTTTGAACAAGCAACTAAAACAGTATGAAATATTCACATTCACCATACAGAAACCCATCGGTTAGCATATAATGAAATATAAAGCGCTCCGTATGTACGGTCGAGCACACGGCTTGTGCACACACAAAATCCTCTCTATGTACTGAGCGCGCGCGAGAGACCGGATTGTGTGTGTGAATTGTGAAAAGCGTATGTAACGTTTGGGCTGGCAGAGCAGCAACAGCAACAGCAATGTTTCTTGTTCACTTTGGATTTTTGTGTTTGCGCTTCGCCTTGTAGCTCTATTTTAAATGAAATACTCGCTCTGTGCACAATCATCAGTACTCTTGGCCCAAGAAAAATTCTCTGTGTGTGCTTTTGCTGTGTAATGTCTCTCTCTCTCTCGCTTGCCGTTGGATTGAAGCGAACAGTAAATAGATTACGGCACAAAAAGAGTATGCACGCGGGTCTTAAATGAATATATTGGACCTTGTTGATGTGCCGTTTGAGTCAGACCGAACGTTCTTTCCAATCCGAAATGATCAATTTCGCTCGTCCTTCGCATGGATCACTCGTCGTTCCTCCGGCCGCATTTTTCTCGTTCGTTGTTCCTCTTTTTGTCTCGTTTTCTTTCCTCGCCTTTTGCCACACAAATTTTTTCCGTTCATTTTATTTTTTTCCATGGCTGTTGTTCGATTTGAAGAGTACGATCCGCTTGGCCGATGTTTCAACATTTTTCAGGGCATTGCTCCAGCGAATAGAAATCCATGTTGAGAGTTTTTGGCAGAAAGTTGGTCACATTTTACGTAATCACATCGACGCACAGCGAATGAGTCAAGAGAGAAAGAGAGTGCGCGCGATCCGAGAAGCGAGAAATAACTTTTTGGAGCTCGGCATTCATCTAGCATCTCTCTGCATTATTCGACAGCAACAAACACTCACTGAATGTGAAATACACAACACAGCATTATATTCAGCTCTCTCGCTTAACGAATGTATCTCATCGCATCGTGTTATGTGCTGTGCCATTGATGGTGCTGCTGCTGCTGCTCTTATATACAACAGCGACTGGATCGTACCATTATTGACATTGCCAAACATTTCCAATATAATGCATGCCATGGAGCGGAGCACAGAGACAAGTATCATATTGAATATTATAATACCTACGTAAAATTCAGCTCTAGGGTTTTTTTTCACTCTAATGTGTGTACAGTAAAGCGGTGCTGAATCGATTTACGGCAAACCCTTGATTCAAGCATTCACAAATACACTCAACTAGCTCCGTTGCTGAAATGTCAACTGCGTAAGGGGATATGGCATGAATTGAGGGTATCTTATCGTATTGACGTTCCAAAGGGACGACACGTTTTGACGAAGTCTACGGCGAACTCATGAACTATCGAAAAGTCAATACAAAATGATACGAGAGTTCATGGCGCTGCGAGCGCTTGAATGATGTTTGTACTGAAGTGTCGTCAGCTTGTGACGTTCATTTGGCCTCGAAAATGAGGAAATGGAAATATTCGACTACGTCCACAATTTCAAGGTTTACAGGAAAACTGGTGAACGAAAATATCGGTAGAAATTATTCGATACATTTTTCGCCACAAAATTCAGGGCACATTTTTTTTCCATTGCCCCATTTGAGCTGTAGTTGGGTCAAACTGTAGCAATTCATTTCGACAAAAATGAAGTGAACAGACGAAAAGCGTACATAGAGAGAAACACCGAACAAATTCAACGCCAACTAACGTATCTCTTTGGTATCTTTCGAACGAACAGAGGAAGAAAGAAGAAGAAAAAAATAAAAATCCGACCGAACAAACAAAAAGCAACACGAATAACATCAACAAAGCGCAAAAAAAGACGAAAAAGAAAACCTCATACAAAATATAATACCGTATAGACCTTAATGTTCGTCTATAATCAAGTATACGAAGTGCTGTGCTGCTGCTGCTGCCGTTGTCGTCGTCGTCGTTGCTGTTCGCTATAACAAAAATTTATGAAACAAGTATATGTCGACATATGAACGTACCACGCAAACAAATGCGGCAGCTATTCGCTGTGCTCCGATCTGCTCTGTACTCTGTGTTCCATAAAAGAAGAAAAACGAAACAAGAAGAAGAAGCAGCAACAGCAACAACAACAGCAAACGAACGAACGAACGAAAAAAAAAACAGCACACACAGCACCATTCGAATACCAAAACGAATACATCTGCACGTGTGTTTCACACAGATGCGCGCACAGCACAGAGCCAACGCTCATGTGAGTGCTGTTGTTTATATATTTGATTGCCCGTTTACCATAGCTGCTGCTGCTGCTGCTGCTGTCGTCGTCGTCGCTGCCGTTTCACATTCACTCATCGGGATATGTCGTGCATGAATACAGTTTTTGTATGTACAAAATGTTTTTTGTTGTTTGAATTTTTGTTGTTGTTGCCGTTTCTTTTTTTCTCTTTGCCATTTGCCTTTGTTCGGTATTTCGTATTCGAGCGATGATGTCGACTTATGTGTATATACACATACACCGCATATGTATGGATTGTCGAACCATGTAGACGGATTCTCCTTATGTACATCAGATAATGGCATACGGATACACGCATTTCGGTTCATATGTACGAACCCAACGAAATGACAGAATGAGTTTTGTTCCGACAGCGTCATCTATTTTGGCAGTCATGATTTTCAATTCGAACTTAACGAATTTAAAAAAAAAAAATATTTTTTTTCATTTTGATTATTTTATTTTTACTTGTCAATTTGTCAGTAAAAAATGCCTTTGTCAAAAATAAAATATCGCAAATAAATGAAAAATAAAAAATAAAATATGGATTGGAATTCCCTGAAATGGTAGTTTTGATTGTGACCACAAACAGACGCTGCGAGTGTACGCAATGACATTGTCGAAATAGACATTTGTTATACGGCATCGACATACAAAACACACACACACTCACGCTCACACTCGCATGCCTCGAATCGACAGCGTGTATACTAACATCTGCACGAACACTGAAATCGCCTCGTTCGTTCGAATTGATATGCATTTTGAGCTCGGCAACAAAAAAGCAATACAACAACAACACAACGTGTGGATACGAACACGAAAATATCGTCAGCAGCAGCAGCAGCAGCAGCAGTGGCGGCGGTGGCAGCAACAACGACGAACAGAGAGATAGAGAGAGAAAGAATAAGAACAAAAGTTCGAAGCGACCGCGCTGTGCATGTGTGCGTGTTCATATGGTTTGACTGCGCGTGTGTGTGTGCTTACACGGGCGATAAAATGGTTTTTGGTGTGATGCAGATGTGGTAGTGTGTGTGTGTGTGTGTATTTTTATTTCATAAATGAGTGCTTTTAGCGTTTGAAGCATTATACACTGCTCTATGTTATTCCATTGTATTGCCCCGCTCACTGTTACTCTAAATCTTTGTCGATTTGATGTGTTGCGTCCGTTTGCTGCCGTTGTTTCGTTTTCGGCTCTTTGTGGCACTGAAAGCAATGCTCACAACGAATGGAAAAATCAGTAAGACCTGTGCACTGCATGATATAGGTTCTGTTTTGTAGCGTGTGGCGAGCCAAACAGCGATACATTCGACAAACAAATCAAATGTTCGCTTTTTATCAACAAAAATTTGCAAATAAATGGCAATTTAACCAGTTGACAGCAGAGGAACGAGACATTCTAAATGAAGAAATCAAAACTAATGAAAATCACGCAATAAATTCGCAAAAAAAGACGAATTTGAATCGGATCGAAAGGGTCGATCAACAACGAGCATACATTTTGGAGGCAAAATATTTGGACCAAGTGTTGAACTGTGAAAGTGATGAATTGATTGAGAAAAAGTTTGAAAGCATCACAACAAATCCACTAAAGCAATGTGAAATGTAACGAAACGCAATATAGACAGTAAATTTCTGAAGAAATGATCGAATAACGAATGACTTGTGTACAAAACGTTTGATCCAAAAGAGACAAGACAGTTTTGGTGAATTGACAGTTGACTTAAGAGCCTGGGAAATAGTGAATAAAACAGGCAGAAAAACCACGAAAAAATGTGAATTGACAAAGCTGACAATAAGATTGAGTTCAGCTGAGAACAGAAGATACTGATGAAGACAGAATCGTGACTTGTGTGAAAAGTGTCAAAGCCAAAAGACTAAGTGTTAACACTAAAGGTTTCATTCGAAGTTCAAACAGCCAAGTTTCTATCGATAAAATCATAAGCCAGTGCACAGATCTAATTTCAAGTGTAAGAACTAAACTTTAAAAACAATCATACAGATTTTGAATCAAGCGACCAGTGTTTCGCTGTCAAAATTAAGCCGAACCGAATTTTTCTTTTAAAAGCCCAAGGTATGTGAAACATAACATTTTTGCTTGCAAATTTTCTGTTTAAAATTCAAATATAGCGTTAAATATCATGTGGTGATCATCTAACGGCAATATAAGTACTCATATCGGGCATAAAAATTGATTTTGAATTTTCGCGCGCGCATATCGTTCAAGTCAACAAATCGTCGTCGCCGTTGCCGTTGTCGTCTTGTTGTCGTGCGTTCTTTCAAAGTGCCCGTGCGTTTGCACAAAATTGGCATATGTAATTTGTTATCAGGTTTTTTTTGTCTATTACTCTGTGTGTGTGTGTGTGTGTGTGTGCGTGTGTCGTGATTATTGTTATTTATTAGTTCTTATATTTTGCTCTCTGTTTCTCCGTATGTATGGTGCGCGCTGCTGTTGCTGCCTATTTCATTTGATTGTTCTTTATTTGGTTGATTTCTATCGTTTCGTTGGCTACAGACACACATCCCGTACGCACGTATACGGACACCCAGATCACAAGTACATGTTTGTACGTTTTTCATGTGACATGATGTGCACGACGAACAGAAGAAAAAAACCCGAGTTGTGCGGTAAATTAACTAATACGTTCAACCGTGCACACATTCTCGTCGATCGCGTTGACATTTTTATTGGCCACCAAAATATATAAACACTGATGAGTAAAAAAAAAACACACCAATTTTTTCGGTATAAATCGCGCTGTCAAAATTATTAATTCCGATTGTCGCCTGGAACAGATGAGCCCCACTCTTCTGTCTCCAAACTTCGATGAAGTGACGTTTAATCAGTTGTTCGATTTTTTTTTTCATTTCTCTCGTCTACTTCATCTGTTTCTTCATTCGTTCCAACATTGATTTTGCGATTTTTTTTCGTTCGCCCGTCAAATATCGCAAATAAAATGAATTCAAATTGATTGCTTTACATTCTTGAATTTGTTTTTTTTTCTGTCTTCTTCGATGGTCACTGTTTGGTTGATTAATTTCTTTTTTCGTGTTTGAACTTTTCGCCATCTAATTGGCGAAGGAAAGGTAAAATCAAATCGGTGCCGCCGCCGCCGCCACCGCCACCGCTAACAAAACAAATACCAGTCAGCAACAACAGAAAAAACAACAACAGAAAAAATTCCTCGTTGTGTGTTGCGTGTGCAAAATGTGTAGTTTTCGGCGAAAACGGAAATGTCTTGCGCTAGCTCATCTCTCTCACTCACTCGCTTACTCGCTCGCCCATTATATACACACATTTATTTTTATTTACATTTTTACAACGGGATTGTCGATGAGGTTGAAGTTTTCTTATGAAATTGTGCCCTTGTTTGTGACGACAACAACAACAACAATAACGGCTACGACGACAATATATCCGCATGTGCTTGAGTCGCAATGAGTGAGTGTGTGAGTCGAGAAATGAAGCGAGCGAGAGAGAAAGAGAGCACAAGTGTGTGTGTGTGTGTGTGTGTATGTCTGTGATTTTTAGCTGATTTAAAGTGGATCGGAATTGAAAATGCTCTATGCGCGTGCAAGAGTGAGACACACCGAAAATTTCATTTGATGTGCATGTGAACGTGTAACGAAATGCTGACACGATTTTCGTAAATGCTAAACGTTTGTGTTATTTCTTCGGTGTTTTATGTTTTTTTCTTTCATTATTTCTTTCCTCGTTTTTTTTCTCTCTCTCATTTTGTCTGGGGCAAAAGGAACTATATCAATTTAGATGTGTCGCGTGCGATGCATGCAACGACGCAATGTCTGTATGCGTTTTCTATCATTACTTCTCCATAAACTCAAATTTTCTTAATCACCGATGTCAGTTTGACAGTGGTTGTCCGCATGCGAGGCAGTGTTACAGAATGATATGAATTTCGTTCGGTAGAACGGCAAGCGAGAAAAAAAAATTCTGAAAACGAAACGGGCACATTTTCTAGCACGAAACTTCCGACGTTGCCGTATTAACTTGTCGAAAAATTAGATATGGAACAAATGTTTCAAATAAATTTCAAATCAAACATAAACTTGCATGAAAAATGGATCTTTTTTTTCTGCCTTCCAATTTTTTTTTCTCTTTTCTATAAAATGCATACAAACCCATAAAAATAATAATAATAATAATAATTGATTGTCCTTTTCAAAGTTGTTTCATTTCAAATTTTTGCGCTGAGAATTCAATTGAACAATTAGCTTATATTCGCTTCAAAACAATTTTTCATTAACAAAAGCGAGCGCTCGCCAAAAAACAACAACAACAAAAACATACACTGGGATGTGTCACATAGACTGTAATCATTTGAAGTGGCTTTGGGCAACGATGAAATTTTTATTGGTTTTAATTGCATTAATTTTGTGAATGAAAATGACTAAATGCTTGAATTCACACTCACACATACAGTTTGAGCTGAGTGTAACGCGCGAGAAAGAGCTAGAGAGCGAGAGAGCGCACATTGACAAAGAGAGCATGGTACTCACTTACAATGTGACAGTCAATCATGAGCCGATAAACCGATGAAGAGAGAATAAAATATGAACGAATGGAGAAACGAGAATGAGTGTAGTTGGAAAAAGAGAGTAACAAATTCATTAAATTTTGTAATCAATGTAATGCACACAATGTATAGAGCAGAGCGTACGCTCAACGTTTGTAAAGGAATTTCTATGCATAGCAAAAGATGGAATGAAAACATTGGGAGAGTAAGCACGAGCGCTAGAACAAGAGAGTGAAAAAAAGGAGAATGAGCGAAAGACTCAACAAAAACAATGCACGGCTAAAGAGAAAACAGTCAATCCACAAATTAAAAAAAAAATTGTATATATAACAAAACAAGCAAGTTTACAAGGCATGTTATGACATGCGGATAAAACTCTAGCCACTCGGAGAAGGTTTGCCGAGTGAAATTCTCTCAGCCGTAGCAAGCGAGCGAACGAACGAGAGAGACAAATCGAAAGAGAGTGCAATAATGTTGTTCTGTTGGTTACATGTTCTTTTTTGCTACTGTTATTGTTGTTGCTCTCGCTCTCTCTCTCTCTCTCTCTCTCTTGTATGATGCATTTCAAAGGCTTTTCTAAATCACACACTGAGAATATATACGCATACATACACTATCCGGCAACATACAACGAGGCCCATCGCATCGTAATTAGAACAATGGAAAACCGAAAGCGCTCAATACCCAACCGCACAAAGAAGTGCGACGAAAGAGAAGAAAATAAACAAAATACAACAATAAAATGTGAAATTTGCGTTTATTTATTGCACGCTACTCGGCCAGCAAGTTGTCAGTTGACGCTTTAGCGTCAATGCGAACACATCTTGATGGAGTGTCATAAACTCATGAAATTCGCTTATTAGAAAAAAAAGAAGAGAAGAATACTCTATACAGACACACATGTATATATATATACAAACTTACGAGGCGCATGAAATTGCACGGAAAATATGCCGTCAACCGACGTCGTCGTTGTTTTTGCTGGCGGCAGCGGCAGCTCGGCAACAGTGCGAGACTTTTTGCGAAAACTATCACTTGTCGGAAAAGCGTAAAGTTTGTTGTATTTTCCTTCTGAATTATATTTTTCTACTCGTTCGCATTGTCATTGCATTCAATATGGAAGAGCGACCACAAGATAAGGAAAGCATATCGTGGCAAATCATATGTGATTGGATATTGATTCATGCTCAATTTCTCTCATATTGAATAATTCGATGTGTATTCTCACAAGCACATACTCACCTCACGCGCTCTCTTTTCTCTCGCTCTGTCTCTCTTTCGTTCTCCAAATCGGTGATGACGACGACGACGACGAAAACCCTTCTTCGATTATGTATATCATATTTATTTTATCGTTATTTTCTCCTTCTTCGGTTCGCCAGTTGCCAATGGCTTGTCATTCCACATATATGAGTTCGATTGAGAGCTATCAATTTTACAGGTTCCAACTAAAAGTTTCGTTGGTTTTCATTTCATTCAAACACACGAGCTGCACCAGTGCTGACGTGAGCATGATTGTGCAATTGCACAGTTTTATCGCGTTCTTGTGGCGCGTAAAATCAACTACGAGCAAATTAACTCTATCAAAACGAAATTTTAGCGAAAATTAAAATGTTTGTTTGTTTATGATCCTTTTGAGTTCAGGATAATTCAACGACTGTTCGAGAAAAAAAAGACAGAGAAAGAAATTGTGTTCAGTCATTGCGAAAGAGCAAATCGAGAAAAAAAGTAACTCTAATCATTTTTCTCGTTGGGCAATGCAAAAAAAAAGAACAGTAGATAAAAGATAGGTTGAGAAATGCCAAGCAAACGCATCGTAATCACGATATCGTACCGTCAATTCTATTTGTGCACCGTATCGTACTAATGAAACGAGAAAGAATAACAGCAACAGCAACAGCAGAGCAAGAGAAAAAAAGAGTAGCTGCTCAAACCAACCAACCAACAAAGAAACAAAAACAACTGAAAATCCAAAAGAAAAGAGACAAAAACGAGCAACCAAATCGAGAGAAGTGAAAGAAAAAACACCAACGAATCCGAATAAAATGCTCTATGAATTCCAGTTTGGTGCTGTGCGATAGAAGGGGATGGCGCCAGTACTTATTTGTTACGTCTGTTTGGTGCGACTGTACATACTTTCAGCTTATATTTGCTGCTATATGGAGTCGGAGCCATTGTATGTAGATTGTGAATTCTTGTGCAGCATTTTATCATATATATTGCGTACTGTGTGTATGTTTCATTCCGAAGGCAGCAGTTGTAGCAGCAGCACCATTTTTCTTCGGCCGATTCAAGAGTTGGCTTCGGAGTGCGCTCCACTCTTGCTCTGTCTCTTGCTGCTCATTCGAACTGTTTGTGTTGCTTGGTCTTCAGAAATGGCAACCAACATAGGAGCCGTAACATCTATTCCCTCTCGTATTTGTGTTGTTGCGTGTTTGTTATTCCATTCGACAAACGACCGACAACGACAACGACTACAGAGAACCGTGCACACATAACACATCAACCAGTATAACATGCTATAGTCACATATTTTCCA